TGAGGATGCAGAGCGAGCAAGGGCTTAGGCCCCAACATCCTAGCCCCATACTTTCCTCTCTGGGACTTCAGCCCACAGGGGAAAACTGGGAGATGCTATGATTAAGAAGTCATCCGTACTTATGCCTGGATGGGGCTAGGGGTGACCTGTCCCCCCCCCCCCCCAAAAAAAAACCTACTCAACTGTTATTCCAAGTAGTATCTACTGTGTGCCAAGGGAGGTGTTAGAAATACAGAAACAAATAACAGGACCTGCCCTAGAATCTTACATACTATTGGGGGAAGACAAAGGAGGAACAACTAAATGCTTCACAGTGTTGGGGCTGCTGGCTCTCTCTATGACCTGTCATGGGAGCATGGAGGAGAGGCTGGGAAAGGCTCTGGAGAGGATTTAAAGCTAAGTCCATGGCCCCACCTCTGTCTCCTCCATCTCACTCAGCTGCCCCCAAGTTTGACCTCAGTGCCCGGCTGAAGAGTCACATGGTGGTTCGTGCTGGGACAGCCCTCTGCATCCATGCTGCCTTCTCTGTGAGTCATTCCAGACCCTGGCCCCCCGTTACCCACCACTTAGCCAAGATGGCTGCCATAGCTATCATAATCTCTGTGTCTGCCCCTTGCCAGACCCCTGGCACTAGAGCCTGGCAGGAGACCCCTGGCCAGTGGAGTGGGAGAGGGCCCGCCCCCAGGTATTGGGTCACCCCAGTGCCATTTCCTGTCACCCACTGGGTCACCCCAGTGCCATCTCCTGTCACCATGCAGGGCTCACCACCACCCAACGTGATCTGGCAGAAAGACGGCATCCCCACCAAGGGCCGGGAAACCATCACCAAGGGCAAAAACCACTCCCAGTTCCTTATCAACAGCACCAAGCGCTCCGACTCAGGCGTGTACCGCATCTTGCTCCAGAATGAGTTTGGAGAGGCATACTATGATGTCCACGTCCGTGTGGCAGGTGCGACTGTGGGCAGAGGCCTCGGGGAGGCACCCTTGCACACACTCCGAAACAGAGCTCCCCACTGCTGCCTGAGTTCCTGCCAAAATAAAGTCAGGCTGAAGGTAGTAAAGGTTTCTCTCCTGCCACACACATCAGGACTGACCTTTGCCTTAATGAGGAGGTTAGTTTCCACCTTGTCTCAATGTCCTGGAGCCCTAGAGGTATTGAACCAGGACCAAACCTGTGTTTCGGTTTCTGCACTCATAGCTGATGAGCTTTGGGGACATATGCAGAGTATGGTTGGCAGAGAGAGAGAGCAGAAAATGAGTGGGAGGCAGGAGGGGCAGATGGAGACGAGTCCATTAAAATTTGGAGTGACCTCATAGTGAGGGCTAGAAGCTTTATAATCAAGCCTTAAACTCCTCAGGAATGAAGGGATAAACTTTTATTGAATAGTTACTATGTGCCAGGCACTTTACTCAACGCTTCTGAGGGAGTTACTGTTAGCCCTATTTTGCAAATGAAGAAATGGGTCCCAGAGTTTACAGGGCTGGTACCTGGTAGAGGCTACATGAGGGCTGCTACACCTCAGAAATAGTTCTGACTCCAAAACACTCCAAGAAGAGACATCCCCTATTCCATCTTCCACAGGGCTTGGCAGGTGGCTGGGGTGGGGCACAACTCTTCAGGCCCCCGAGGGTGGCTGACGGACCTTGTGGCTGTTCCAGATTTTCCGCGGCCACCCACAAATCTACAGCTGTTTGAGGAGGTCCCCAACACAGTGACTCTGACCTGGAACCATAGCCCTGACGTGCAGGAGGACAGTGAGGCCCACTATGTCATCCTGAAGCGGGATGCCAGTACTGCCACCTGGTTCACGGCAGCCAACCACGTCTTCAGCAACAAGTACACGGTGACAGGGTTACTCCCCGGCAGGAAGTACTACTTCCGAGTGCTGGCCCGGAACGAGATCGGTGACAGTGACCCGCTCGACTCCAAGGACACCTGGCTCGTCAACAAGGACAAGAGTGAGTGTTGGGGGACTCAGGGGTTGGGGTTATATCCCCGATGGCAGGGATGGCATGGGCGTTCCCGGGGGTACCCAAGATTTGAGGTGAAATCTAAGAACCGCTGAGGGGGAAAGGCTAATGTCAGGGATGCTGGGAGGGGAAGTAGCCATCCTGAAGCCTGAAGAGGATACTTTCTGGACACTCTGAGGGGTGGGACTACCGCGAGGGTGGGGAGGTGCCCTTGGGAGCGGGGGTGACAGGGGAGGGCAGTCGGTGTGGAGCGGAGAGGGACCTTCAGAGCCAAGGGGTCCACAAGTGAGGACTGGAGAGGGTCTCCGAGGATGACATCCAAGAAGGAAAGGGGTTAAGGGTGGGGATAGGGTCGGGGAAGCTTGAATTGAGGAGCTAAATGGAGGTGAGGAGAGACCGTGGAGGCTGAGAGAACGCTGGGGAAAGCCTGGATGGGCAGTCAACAGCCGGATAGCAGCTCGGTTTGGAAGCTGGCAGCTGGCAGCTGGCAGGAAGTTAGGACTCCCCAGTCTGGAAAGGCGTAAAAACCCAAATGCAGGCACCTGGCTTTGATCGTGGAACCCTGGAGTGACAAGGGGTGGGAGGGTGGCAGAAGGGGAACCTCAGGCACACCAGTGTCAGGTCGGGGCCCCAGAGTTGACAGCGCATGGGAATGTAGCCCAGGCCACCAGGGCTTGGGGAGCTAGGTCTCCGGGGCGCCTTGGGAGCTCTAAGGGGCGGGCGGCAGCTTGACTCCCGAGCACGCTCACTGTGCACCGCCTCCTGCCCGCACAGTCGAGGACCTGAGTGCCAAGCTGAAGCCATACGAGCAGAAGGACTGGCGACACGCGCCGCGCTTCCTGATCCCGCTCAAGCCGCACATGGTGCTGCGCGGCCAGGACTGCACCATGACCTGCGCCTTCCTTGGGAACCCGCGCCCCACGGTGACCCTCTACAAGGGCGACGTCAACATCACGGCCAACTCCAAGTTCTGGTACAACTCCACCAGCGGGGTCTGCACGATAGTCATCCCCACCTGCACGCTCAAGGACAGCGGCGAGTACAGCGTGCTGGTGGAGAACGAGCTGGGCAAGGACCGCAGCAGCTGCGCGCTCACGGTCTACGGTGAGGGCACCGGGCAGTTCTGGCCGGCAGGGGGCGGGGGGCAGGGAGGTGTCTCCCTGCAGCCCACCAGCTCCAGAGAGGCAAGATGGCCCTCTCCTTGTGCCGTTTTTTATTTCCTCTGCCATCAGATGGTGTAAACATTCACCCACTGGCCGTACATGGTTCCTCTCTCCTATCCTCTGCATGTCATTTGTTATGTGCCTGGCCCTTGCAGACTTGGGAGTTTGCAATCCCTCAACAAACCGTAGTTTGCCACCCTTGGTGGGCCTAGACTTGCCTTTGAAAAAGATACTGGTGATTAGGCCTAAACCAGACTCACCAGTCACAGTCTCTGTGACAGGTTTCTGGAAGGAATTTTTATGTTCACTAATTTTGACGAGTCATTCATATACACAACCAAGACCGAAAACTACTGGTCTAGGGTAAGGAGAGATGGGAAGTACAAATGGGGGAAGGACTAAAGGGGGCCTAGTGGAGACCCTTCCTCTGCACAGGTGTGCCACACCTCTGCTCATGTGTGCACATGTAGGGGAACTATCTTATGTTCTTCCCACACACTCCACTGTCTTCACAACTACACAGCGAGTAGCAGGAATTCTCCAAAAGCAAAGCTGTCCTGCGCTGCTCCCTTCTTGCTTTCACTCCCTAACTTTTCCATGACCCTCTTGAGTAAACCTCAACCCGCAAGGCCCTCCACCCTGTCCCCTGCCTCTCACATCTACTTCTCCAGCCTCATCCTCTGCCACTCCCTGAACTCTCTGTGACAGTCCATTGGTGTCCTGTTGTAGGGGTGCCTTTCTTTGGGGAAAGTACCACGCCCTGGTGCTCTGTCCCTCGAGGACTCAGCTAGATGTTAGCCACTGAGATAAGGCCTCCAGAGGGTGGCTCAGCTGTGTGACAGAACTAGGCCAGGGAAGGCACCGTGGGAGACATCCAGCTTTCATTCCACAGCTAGAGAAATCCCTGACAACTTAATTCTGATTGTAAGCACGTGGGCCCAGAGCCCGGGCTCCACCGTTGTCCGGCCATGTGACCTTGGCAAACCACGCTGAACCTGTTTTCTCATCTGTTCCTTAGGGCTGTTTGGAGGCATACGTGAGATAGTGCGCAGAAGTGCCTGGCGCAACGCTTGGCAGATATTAAGGGCTGAGTAACTGGTAGCTCTTGGCCCCACATGCTCAGCTGACCTTGGGAGACTGGGGAACTGCAAGGCCAGCGGGTTGGAGTTTGCCTTCCTCCCTGCAACATGAACACTGACAAATCCTTGTTTTGCTCTTTCAGACAAAGATGACAAGTCCATCCTAGCATCTGTCACTGAAAGTATGCAGAAGAAGTCAAAGTACCTTATGTGAGCTCCAGTCTAGCCCAGGCATCAGGAGGATGTTGGGATGTGTGGTTTGGGGGCCCATCCTGTGTGTGGCTCCAGGGAGGGCAGCCCTGTTGGCTCTCTGGTGTTTGTCGATGTTAAAAGTCAGCAAAGGCATGGGACAATAAATTGACTAAGCTCAGCCCTGCCTGTTCCTGAGGGTGACGTGCAGCAGGGACCAAGGACATGGACTTGGGCATTGATGGGGACACATGGCTCCAAGAGCTTAGTCCAAACCCACTCACAATGGGAGTGACCAGCTCCTTCCTGGCTGGGCCTCTGCCTGCCTCCGGCTCCTCTGCAGCCACACTGCACCCTCCCCTCCCCTCCCCCCCCCTCCCCTCCCCTCCCCTCCCCTTCCCTCAGGGCAAGGGAAAGCAAGGCCTGATAGACTTCATCCTGCTCCAGGTCCCTCCCTCCCATTTTTTCACGAGGTAGGTCTGTCATCAGAGTTCTGGGGTTTGAGGGGGTCAGGGCCTTGCCTCTTTACTCCAGGGTTCCCACTATTTGACACTTAGTGCGTCTCAGAGCTAGAAGGAATTGGTCATCCAGCTCAGTAGGTTTCAAATTTAGGTTTTATAGCAGAATTCTTCCTCTAAAAGAAAAAAATCATAAATACTGGACTTCAAACAAGGATAGGGGGACCTCTGAGCCTCCCTCCTCTACTTATTCTTTCACTGTCCCCCACCAGGTGTCTCTGTAAAAATTCTAGTTTGGAAATCACTGATTCACCCACCACCCACATGGGACTGAGCCTCCTCTCTCCAGTCCCCACAACTCCACAACCTCTCCACTAAGGACATATTCACCACTACCCAAAGCTTCCCTTTCTGCTTCTGGGTCAGGGTACTGCCCATTAAGATGCAAATGCCCCTGGAGTGGAGTGACTCCACTCCATTGTTTGGCCTGGGCTTCCCATCTAAAGTACAAATCAACCAATCTAATCTCCCTCCTCCCTGCTGTTTAACTGAGCCCACAGTCCAAGGAGAGAGGAGACCCTTGAAGGGAATATGGATCATTCTGGAGCACGAAGCAGGTCTGGGAGGAGGTGGGCAGCCGGACACCGGAGGACACCGGAGGAGAGAGGACACCGGGTAACTAAGACTTACCAAAGGTGCCAGGCACCAGTGTGCAGGGGAATGTATCAAGGAGAAACTTGGATGGTAGTAAATACTACCCATCCCCCATCCTCCTGAACACCAGCCTCACCCAGACACGTGACTGGGGAAGTGAGACCCACTCCAACCAGCACCGTGTCACCAGAGCCAGGAGACCGCCTGGTGCCAAGATGCCTTGGCCAGGACTGTGACCCAAGATGTAAGGACATCCAGGGCCCCTGGCACCATGCCCCCAACCCCTCCCCTCCAGGACAGGCACATGCCACACAGGCGGACAAGAGGACAGCCAATGGCCCTTGGTTTTTATTTTTTTTTTTCACATGAGCAGCAAAGGATGGAGTTGTCCCATCCTTGCTCCTTTTGCATTGAATGTGCCTTAGGTCTTATGACCCTAGAATGTCATTGGAGCCCCCTCCTCTGGCTCCCAGTGCAGAAGGGGCAGACAGAAAAGCACTGATGGAGGCAGGGTAGGGTCCCAGCTCTCTAAGCCAGGCTCAGCACCCACTCAGCAACTCCCTGAGGCCCTCTCCCTGTAAGACTTAGACAGCAGAACAGAGACAGATGGCACAGTAAGACAGGCTGGGAGACAGACCACATACACATAGACTCACGTACATACATAAAGGCTGGCCCCTTCCTTTGGCATGGTTCACTCTAGCCCTGGGGACAGGGTCTAAGGGTGGTGGTGGTGGGCCTGCACTCTGGGCTAGCCCCCGAGAGAGATGGGACCAACTTAAATCCTTGGTCACCCAAGCTCCCAGGCCAATGAAGTCCCCAGTCTCACCTACCTCAACAAGATGCCCCTACACCTTCCCACCCAACACTTAGAAATGGAGATTGTTCAAGTAACAAGGATAGATGAAGGAAAGGGAGACTCCATCCTCATCCAATCTTCCCAACTAGGGGCCTGCAAAAGGGGCTTCAAGCCCTGGGCTTGGGTCATCTCATCTCAAACTTCTCTCTTCCCTCAACTCTGTACAGATGAGAAAGAGCGGGAATGTGTAAGTCAGACTCTTCCATCTAGTAGAAGTGGGGGGAGGTCAAGACATGGAGCACCATCACCCTCCAGAGGGGCTTCGACAGTCCCGGTGGGGTTAGAGGTGGGGAGAGGTCTAATTCCGGCCCCGGCTCAAGGAGAATTAGGCTGGCTCTTTTTGGCTCTCAGAATTGTTCCAGACCACGAGCTTTGCTAGAGAGATCCTTTTCCTGCTTACCCCCTCAAACTTGTACATTTTCCAGGTGGTATCTGCTCCTCCAGCTTAGGCCTACAACCATCCTGACCCAGTTCTTGCAGGTTCTGGACCCCTGCCCCAGAAGGAGAGAGGGGTAACCAGACCCTGGCCCTTCAGTTGGCCTTGCTCTGTCTGTAGTCTTCCACTGGCTCCCGGCTCTCAACGGCAGACAGGGCGATGAACATCTGGGCAGCATAGTAGGTAGACATGATGAGTGCCCGTGCGTAGGGCACCGGGAAGCAGAACTTGCTGAGGGCGATGGTCAGGTCTGAGATGATAAAGAGCAGCGCACCACTGCCTGCTGCCAGCTCGGTCCAGCGCCAGGCTGCCCCGACCAGCCGGAGTCCTGCCACAGCCCGCCAGCCCATGAAGCCGATGAGGGCCACATAGATCCCCACCAGATAAGTGAAGGCACCTGAGAGGCATTGGTAGAGGAGAGCATAGCACAGGCCTGACAGCACTGCCATCACCAGGCCTGTCCGAAGAGCCAATGGCCGCATGCCAAAGGCCGAGGCGTAGAGCACGTGGGTCACAGCAAACATCAGCAGACCTGGGAGTGAGAGGGGATGAGGGGATGCTGAGGGCGGGCTCAGGGGAGTAATGAGTAATGGGGCGGGGCGTGGTTAGGAGGGGGGTGTGGGGATAACCCAGCAGCTTTGGAAAGTCTCAGGGGTGGGAGGAAATGCACAGAGGTAAAGATACACTCTCCCTTCCCCTGAGAAACTCTAGAACTGATCACCAGATCAGTGCAAGGGAATCCTCCAACAAGGGCCCCACAGTCTTTGGCCTCAGAACCCCTTAGATTCACCATATTCTTGTTCCAAAGCTCCCTCTCCCCAGTCCTTGGCCACCTAAGACCCGCTAGCACCCAGCCCCAGGATTCCTCCCAGGCAGCTACTGGGGCAACTGACCGTGCATAAAGTAACCCTGGTCCTGCCAGATGAGGAAGGCATCACCTAGAGCAGAGAAGACGAGCCCCGCAAAGATGCGGGTGGCACTGGGATGGGTCAGCAGGAATCCTAGGCCATGGGCCAGAAGGAAGAGCCAGAGGCAGAAGATGGGCAGGCACTTGATGAGGGCGCTGACCCACGATGGACTGGACGAGGGCAGCCAGAGCACAAAATACACGCAGGTGGCCTTGAAGAAGGGCACCAGCTTGGGTCCCTCACTCTTCACCTGGAGGACACAGGACAAGGGCAGCACTCAGCACTTGGAGCTCGGAAGCCCACGGAGGTGTTCAGAGCCAGCACCCTCAACCCAGACATATACCCCCGAGCCAGACCTGCCTCCCAAACAGGGAGGATTGACCCCCAGAAACCCAGTTTGGCCTGTCCCAACCAGCCAGCAGAGTAGGCACATTCCCATCATCACCCTGGGGCTTAACCGATTAGGAAGGGGAAGGGCTCCACTGTTCTGCTGCCCGTGTACCTTCTTGGCCCAAAGCAGGACCAGAATGGTCACTCACTAGGCAGAAAACATATCTGGGGATACAGTCCCCTCCTGCAAGCAACGCTTCTCCCTTCCTGGCTCCTCCCTGTCCCTCCCCAAAGCCCCTTTAACCCGTCTCTGCCAGCATCAGCCACCGGCTGTCTGGAATGGAGTGGAGTCAGCAGGAAACCACAGAGACGCCACAACTAGCCAACTCGTGATCCTCCGCAGTGGGGCCCGGGCACAGGCTTAGGGCCCTGGCAACACCCGGTGAGTGCCAGGAATGTGTGAGAGTGAGCCCTCAACCCCCACAGGCTCTCTCCTTGGCCGGCCTGCTCCTCAGCCTTCATTCCAGCTGTCCCGAAAGGTACCAGCCTCAAGGTACCATCAAGAGTGAGGAGAGGAGATACGGATGCTGGCTAGAGGACGATTTCAGGGATCAGGGAGTTGATGGGGCAGGGTGTCTCTTGGTCAGTCTCATTTCCAAGAAAACAGGAGCAATTCAAGAGTTCATCAAAAAGAGAGGCAGGAAGCAGGGGAGGGGTTCTCTTTCCAGCTTTTGATCTGCAGCCAGCAGACTGGCTGGGAGGAGATGTGGAACTGAGAGGGGGAAGTTGGAGCAGCTGACTTGGCCTCAGCCGGATTAGGGGGGAGGGCAGCTAAAGAAAGGTATGTCCGAGGCCACTTCAGGTACTCTCCAAGCTGAGGGAGGGGGCTACTGCAAATATTCTGAATCTGTGATCCCCTGAAGCTCCCCCTTTTTTGGGCTTCGGGTACAGGGTCTCTGTGGGCGATTCAAAACTCCTGAGGTTCCCTGTATACATACACTCTGCCCAAAATGATTGTGCCTCTAGCTGGGTGAGCTGTCCAGCACAAGGCTCTGGGAACACACTGATTCCCAGACTGCCAATTACCTGAGGACTGATCAGACTGTGACGGAGGAGTTTGGGAAGAGGCAGATGGGTAGGAAGGTCCAGGGTCCAAGCCTGCCCTTGCTCTGCCAGGGGTGAGAGCAGGGAGAAAAGACGACTAAGTTCCTTCCTATGGAGATCTCCCCCATCCAGGCTCATTGGGGTAAGGGCACGGGTAGAGAAGGAAACTGGAGCAGATGAACAACCCCGCAGTCCCCAGTTCTCCCCAGCAACAACCTGCCAGCCCTTGGAAACATCAATGTCTGCTCCATACCCCTCCCCCAACCCCATATTTCCTGTAAGGAAAAACAGGCCGTAGAGTAGTAGCAGCTGGCCAGACTTCTGACAGTCAGAGAGAATCCAACACTAGAAGATGAAGGGTGGGGAAGAGAAAGAGGTTCGAGTTGAGAAGTCTGAATAGGAAGAGTGGTCAAGAGAGGAGCAGCCCTCTTCCTCCAGCGCATTACCAAGGCTGCATGGACTCAGGGGCGTCCCCTCTCACGCCCCAGGCTTGTTTATAGGATGAGGAGCGGGAGGAAACAAGTTTGGCCAGGATTCCCAAGAGGTCCCAGTCACCCGCCTACCCTTGCCGCCCTCTCCCACGCCTCCCTGTGGTCTGCCCACGCAGAACCTGGCGGCCAGCTGCTGTCGCCTCTCTCTCCCTGGCAGCCACCCCGCCGACCCGCGTCGGACACACAGACATCAACAAAGTCACGCTTCCGAGTCACGTGCCCACTGTTTTCCTCCCTCCCGCGGGCGGGCGGGGGCTGCGTGGAGGACCGGCGCCGCGGGTCCCGGGTGCGGGATCCATGACAGCGCCCGCCTCCCCGCCCGGGGACGCCAACCGCCGCGGGATCCCTGCCCTTCCTCGGCCCCCGACGGCCTGGCCTGCCGCAGCCCAGTCCCCAGGCCGGTGGGCTCCGGCCGCGCCGGACACTGGCTCGCTCGCTCGCTCACTCACCACAGTGACCGGGGACACCATGGCGGCAGCGGCGGCGGCAGCGGCTGACACTCCGCTCCGGGCTGCAGCGGCCAGGACGCGCCCGCGGCCAGGTGAGTAGACGAAGACGTAACCAAGCCCCGGGTCACGGACAATACCTCCCGCTCGCCCGGCGCTGGGATTTCTGTCTGCGATCCCCAGGACGTCACAGCGCGCACCGCCAATGAGAGGGCAGGGGGCGGGGCATCCGAGGCCCCGCCCCTCCGGGAGCCCGGGCCAGGGCATCCCGGAATCTGACTGTGACACCGCCCCCCACACCCCCACCCCCAGTGAAGACCGAGGTTGGCTGAGAGTCAAACATTCCTGTCGTGGGCCCACGACGTAACCCGGGGATAAAAAGCTGATTCCCTTCAGCCTTTAAACACGCGGTTCACGCGAACATCGGGTTTGTTTGTTTTTAAGATTTTACTTATTTATTTGAGAGAGAGAGGGAGCGCACACAGAAGCAGGGGGAGTGGGAGAGGGGGAAGCAGACTCCTGCTGAGCAAGGAGCCCGATGTAGGGTTCGATTCCAGGACCCTGGGATCACAACCCCGAGCCCAAGGCGGCCGCTTAACCGACTGAGCCAGCCACACGCCCCACACACAGACATAGTTACAATTAGACCCACAGCCTTCATTGTGTACAAACACACATGCAAATGGACACAGTGGTCAGCGTACATACCACCTTCAACATGAAAAGAGACACCTCAATAAGTCCAGAGCCCCCCACAGACCCGTTGTCCTCATGTATATACAAGCATACAGAATCACAATCACCCTTAGGCATCAAACAAATATGTAGACCTAAAACCACCAGCAGCAGGTGGACACACATTCTTCAACATAAAGAGAGGCAGAGACAGGCACACCTCCAGACCACAAATACTTAATTGCTCTTAGGTACATGCCTCTCATAGTCCAGACACAACTGTAACACAAGAACACACCAGGAACAACAGACCTGAGGACCTCAGGCAGACCTGAGCATACTTAAGGACCCACACGAGTGGGAACTAGCTTTGCCAAAATACGGCTTAAGAAGCTTGAGTGTCAAGATTACAGAGACTAATTTGTGACACATCACAGACACATTTGTGACCAGGCTTCATCAGAACCGTGGGAATTACATGGTAAGTAGTCAAGTGGACAGGGATCTCTGTTCCAATTTGCCAGGTCCATGTTGGGCGACTGGGTGAATCAGCTGCCCTCTCTGGGCTTGATTTCCTCATATATAAGATAAGTGCATAATCTCTAAGCTTCCTCCCAGGCCATCATGTTGTGTAGGACAGGGAAGGAGTGGGATGCTGGTGTCATCCTGGAGGCATCCTAGAGACAGAGATTTCAGATACTTCTTAAAGGATGTCCTGTGGTCTTTCTGCAGGAGGAGGGAAGGCACCGTGTGCCAGGCTTTGGGAATTGGGGTTGGAGGGGATAACCAGCCCTAACTGGCCTCAATTAGCAGCCAACAAGGAGTTTTAAACATCCTGGGCTGACACTGTTGCTGCATCTGAACCTGGTGCTGGGCCAGGAGAAGCCTACAGCTTGCCTTCTGTGAGCCCCTCCCATAATGGGCCCCTTTCTTTTTCTTTTGGGACCAGCCCAGCTTTCCCCAAAGCCTGTGTTGACCTGACACCCAAGTGGAGTGGGGAGCAGCCCTCTTTCATGATAGAATTGACAAGCAGAGATTCAGAGGCAGAGGCAATAGAGTGAGAATCAAGACTCAGGATTGGGGGTCACACACAGCCTTCTCCCATCGCCTCCAGGCCCCTTCTGCATAGGGCCCCAGTGGGCAGGGAACTCTGCCTGCTCCACTCTCTTCCTAGCCAGGGGCGGTGGGGAGACCTACCTTACCAGAATGGGAGACTATTGCTGCCTAGAGGGCTTGGTGCCCCCCACACATATACACCCCTTCCTACAGTGTCCTGCCTAGAAAAAAGCCTGGATTGAAAGTTAGAACTACTGTACTTGGTGCTAGTCCCTCCTTTTCTGGGACTTACTAGCTCTATTAACTGGGCACGTCACTCCATCTTTGGAGCCTGGGTTTCCTCATCCAAAAATGGAGAAAAGGGGCTGGGAGACATGTGCCAACATGTCTGTTTTCCAGCCAAACCCTTTAATGTCACCTAAGGGATAATTCTCAGGGCGAGAACAAGTCCGGGCCTTCTTCACTTCCCTAGAGGTTAGTTTCCCTGTTGACAAAAGTGAGAGGATGGGGCTATAAAAGTGGTTCTCAACAAGTGAGGCCTATCAAAATTTCTTGGGAAGCTTTTTAAAAACCTAGATACCCTCGCCCCATCCCAGACCTACTAATTAAGGGGCACAGATTTTAATAAGCTTGGCTACACAAATATCCAAACAGAGAAAGCTCGAGATGTAGACTTGTCATCTGCGGGGCCTGAATCAATGTTTGCATCCTCAGCAGGCAATGATCACAGACATAGGTCGCCTGCAAAGCAGAGGCATTTCTCCCCACAGTGCTGGTTACTCTCTGTCCTCTCACTACCCTATTCCGTTCTCAGACCTTCTCTCCCCTGCCCCAGAGGCTGACCTCTATGATTGTGTCACCTGGGCTCACTTGCCCTCTGGTTCCTGATGGAGTTTGGTTAACAAGAGGCAGAGGCAGATCTGAAGGTGGAAGGAGGGTGTGATTGGGGATCCCCCCCCCGCCCAACCACCACCACCAGCTTGCTGGGCTGAGCTCAAGTTCTGGCAGTGGCTGGGCTCTTCCGTGGCCCAGGCCTAGGCAGGGCAACTTCCTCCTGCTGTCGCTTGTCTTTAGGTGGGTACCCCTTCAGTCCTGGCTGGTTTCCTTAACCTGCCCACATCTCTACCAAGAGCCATGACATTCTCTTCTGTTATATTCTTGAGGGTACAAGCACCCTGACTGGTAGAGTTACCCACAAAGCAGAGGTATTCTCCCCTTCCCAAAATGAAAGCGCTTATGACATTTCATGTCTAGGGAGAAGATTTCCTGTTTGTCTCAAAAATTTTATTTTACTGTTTAGTGTTTTTATGTTGAATTGCATATTGCAGGGAGCAGAAAGGGGGGTAGGGCTGCCTGAAGTCAGGCATTCCTTCCTCTGTGTACCCAAAATGACCTGTTAGCACGGCTTTTTCCTCACAGCTTTGTAATTGTTTTCTTTACTTGTCCGTCTCCCTGATAAGAATGTGAGTCCAGGGGCGCCTGGGTGGCTCATTGGGTTAAAGCCTCTGCCTTTGACTCAGGTCATGATCTCGGGGTCCTGGGATCAAGCCCCGCATCGGGCTCTCTGCTCAATGGGAAGCCTGCTTCCTCCTCTCTCTCTGCCTGCCTCTCTGCCTACTTGTGATCGCTGTCTGTCAAATAAATAAATAAATAATCTTTAAAAAAAAAAAAAAGAATGTGACTCCATCCATCCATCCATCCATCCATCTATTCATCCATCCATCCAGCAACTGTTTACTGAGCACCACCCATGTGCTACCTGCCATATTAGATGTGGGGGTTTAAACACTGCAGTAAGATATAGGCTCTGTCCTCATGGGACACACAGCTCAGTTAAGGCAGGCAAGTAAACCATTATCATATAGTACAGCAACTGAAAGAACTGAGGTAAAAAAAGCATGTTTCGGGTGATATCAGAAAGATGTCAGAAACATTCATTGTGCCTGGAGATGCTGAGGAAGCTGGGGCTAACTCCATAGGGATGAGTTGGTCTTTCCTGAGTAAATGGAAATGGAAATGGCAGTAATGTTCTAGGCAGAGGGAATTGCACGTGCACATAGGAGCACAAAAGACACGCTGAATTCAGGGAAATGCCTGCAGTAGTGGCATGACCTGGAAAGTGAAGAATGACCCTGTAGAAATAGGCATGATCCAGGTCAGAGGGGATCTGAATATTCTGGCTGAGGAGTTTGGTCTCGATCTATAGATGACAGTAAGCTAGGTGTTTACTATTCCCTAGCTTCTCTGATTGTCCCCAGATCTCACGTGCCAGATACATTGATAATACATAGGAATGGTGACCGACCATCATTCTGGGCCACTTTTTTCCTATGGGGCTTCATCTAACCCAGTATTTCCTCCATCTCTGACCCCCGTGGTTTTGCCACCAGATGCTTTGTTCTCATCTGGTTTGCTCCACTTGGCATTGTAATCCAGCTCTAAATTGTTTACCTTATTCTTGAGAGATCAGATGAGATCGGGCATGGTCACTGTGGTATGGCCGTAGACAATTGCTTACCTTATTCCTGACCCATTGTTAATTTCTCCATGTTTGTTGCGGGCTCCCAGAACACTTTTAACCAACTCTCAGAGCCACCCTGCCACATCCCATCCCACAGCTGCCCCACCTGTAAATCTGGGGAAGAAAATCAGACATTAATGAAGAGGTGTTCAAGAGGGTGTGGCAAGTTCAGATATTCTGATAATAATGTGGGGGAGTTGGTGAGTTCTTAGGAGCAAACTGGATGTGTATCAAACAAATCAAGGTGTTTGGATACAAATCTGGTGCTCAGGACCAAGGTGAAAACAGGGATATAGATTTGGAATTCGTAGCCATATTGAAAGCTATGTGAATGAAATTAACCAGAGAAAGTTCTTGAGGAAACAGAGAAAGGGGCCAGACCAAACCCTGGGGGATGTGATATTGAAGAGAGAGGGATAAAAAAGGAGAACCAGAGAGGAAGCAAACACACAAATAGATATATCTTGCTAAACCCAAATATACCCAGGGCCAAGCACACTCACAAGAAAAGCACACTCACCCAGAGAAGTATACGCCTCCACAGATGACCTGCGGTCTCTGTGTTTGGTTGCCTCCTCCCTAGAACAGATGACAGATGGTGGTTCTGCTTCCCCATTGTGGTAGGGGCAGAAGCTTTGAAGACAGAGGACAATGACCCTTCTCCATTCCCAACTGTGTGCTCCACCAGCTTATGGTCTGTGTGAGGTTCAATGCCCCCATCCCAGGACAGGACATTCCTACAAGTGCCTCTCTGCTTACAAGAGTCAGGCTAGGTTCTGAAATCTGAGTATCACTCATCCTCTGAAGACATCCATTCCAGAATGCCTCTGTCATGCTGGAGCCCACGTGGGCCTCACAGGTGAGTTCTG